TAGATTGAGTCATAAGCATAGTCCTTCCACAGAAAAGGAGAAGGAAGAGATGCAAAAAGTTTCTTAATGTTCAACCATGGGTAGTTTGATATATGCAATGGTATGCACGAGACTAGACTTGGCTTATGCTATTGGTACATTTATTCAGTTTATTTCTAATCCATGCAGAGAACATTGGAATTCAGTGAAGTGGATCATGATATATCTCAGTGGAACGTCCAACATACAACTTTATTTTGTCAATGAGAAACATGTTCTTGTTGGATATACAAATTCGAACATGGTCGGAGACATTGACTCGATGAGATCTACTTCAGGTTACTTGATCATTAATGTAGGGGAGTTATGGCATGACAATCAAGATTACAAAAGTGTGTTGCATTGTCCACCACCGAATTAGTGTTCATTGCAGCGTCCAAAGTGTGTAAGGAGATGCTTTGGATGAAGACGTTTGTGCATTAACTTGGTTTTACTCAAGCGAGGTATGTCATGTATTGTGATAGCCATAGCGCGATTCATCTTGGTAAGAACTCAACTTTTCATGCTAGATCTAAGCATATTGATGTGAGGTACCATTGGCTACGAGATGTTCTTGAAGCTAAGTTGTTTGAGCTTGAGAAAATTCACACTGATGATAATGGCGCTGATATGTTGACGAAAGCCTTATCAAGAGGGAAGTTTGAGGCATGTTGTTTGACCTCCGGCATGAAGGCATTCCCCGTATAGTTAGAGGGAGAGATTTGTTTGGTGTGGGTCACACTATGTGGGGAACCCATCACCAAAACATGGGGTGCAACCAAAAAATAGGTTGCAACTTAAAATATGCAACTTAAAAATAGGTTGCAATTTAAAATAAAATTTTCCATGCATCTATTGTTCCTTTTTGACTTTGGTGAAAAGCTATTTTGCTTTTCGACTTGTGTGTCGGTAACTTATATATAACTTAAAAATCAGAATTTGAAGATGAGAGAGAAGCTCACGTTCGAGAGAAAATAAGGAAAGAAAACAGTTTTTTTAAAGTTTGCACAACAATGATCAACTCTTCAATCGAAGGTCCATCCGTTGTTCGATTAAGATGATTGTTGGACAACAGATAGGAGACAAGGTGTTCTTGACTTTCTACAGTCAGATTTCTCATCCGAGTCTTGTAGCATTAGAAATACATTTGTTTAGCAGGTTGTATTTTTGGCGATGTTCTCTCATTTTTCTCGCTTTTGATAAAGATTACTAGTTGTTAGCCTTGTTGGAGGTTTGATTTTGTGATATTGTAGTTGAACATTTGATTATAGTGGAGCTTTTTTTTTGGTTGCCCTCCCGGTTTCAAGGCATTGCCTTAACTAATCCAGACCGACCCACGTCGTACACCTAGCTTTAGTGGGTGAGTCTCACAGCAAGGAGTTTCTGCGTACACAAAGACTCGAACTCAAGACATTGCTTAAGTGATATCAAGCTGCTTACCACTTGAACCAACCCCTGTTAGTATTATAGCAGAGCTTTTGATCGAACTTTAAAGTCCCTTGGTTTTACCCTTGATTTAGAGGGTTTTCCACGTAAAAATTTTGGTGCCTTCGATTTATTTGTGTTGTGGTTGCATTGATTGATTTGTGGTTGATTAGTGTTGCTAGAGAACATATTTTGTGGTATTGTGCTTGCCATAATTTTTGACAGGAGTTATTGGGAGAGGGAGAACAATGATTGTGCTTCCGCTTGTGTTCGGTTTCTTCCCAACATGTTAGCAATGAATAAAGAATATATTAAATAATATACTAAATATAAAACATATGTTTTTATAATAATTTCTTTATTTTAAATAGAAAAGACTTAAAAGTATTGAATAAAATATATTTATAATATTTTTTTATTAACTTAATTTAACATTGTGTCAATTCTTTCATTCTCCTATTGATTTGTTAAAACGTCCATTGAGAGTATATTATTTACATTAGTCGTTGTTACAACGAAAGGAGCCGGTGTCTTCAAAACTCTGCGTTGCTTTCTACTTAACCCTATGGAAAATTGATAATGCAAAACCGTCTAAATGATTTGAATGTATATATTTATGAACGATTATTTAAATGAACCGTTTCAAAAAAAAATTAAATTCTATATGATGTATTTATAAAAAAAAATCTTAATTAAAAGGTGTTTGTATTCACTTCGTCTCTTTCCTTCAATTAGTATAAGAAAAGAGCTCAAGTGATTTTAATAGTTAAAAAAATTATTATTCTTTTTAGAGGTATCAGATTCAAGCAACATTGTCTATAAGATATGTTTGAATTTATTGTTAGCTAGTTGAAATTTTTTCAAAAAAATATTATCTTTTAATAGCTAGACTAATTTGGAAAAATGGTAATGCACACAAATGATCCCATAAGGTATTGCTTTATTAAGTCTCTCGACTATTAAAAGTTATGAAATGGTCCTTCGACTATAGAGTGTTGCTTTGTTGAATCAAAAGTTACAAAATAGACACATGACTATTCATTATGTTCTAAATTTGTCATTTATCATTAAAAAATTGATGGTTTCTAAGCTGGAAGTTAACATGATGACTGAGATGTGATAGTTGTTTGAGATTCTGAGATCAGATTTTATCATACCACAATCAGCAAGTTAAAGTTTAGCTCAGAATAACGTCAATCTTTTAACGGGAAATGACGAGTTTGGAACATAATGAATAGTCGGGTGACCATTTTGTAACTTTTGATAGTCGAGTGACTCAACAAAGCAAACTCTATAATCAAAGGGTCATTTTGTAACGTTTAATAGTCGAGGGACTTAATAAAGTAGTATGTTGTAGTCGAGGGCCTATTTGTGTACTTTATCCAAAAAATGTTAGCATAGGACAAGGTCTTGCGTTGATTTCATTGAGAGGTATTCAAATCAAAGTTTTAATAAGGCTAACCAATGGTGGAAAAAAAAAACAAAAGTACATTTTCTAATTGTAGTTTAAGATTAACCTTGCATTAACAAAAACATTGGATTCCATGGATTATAACCTTAAAATATTATTCAAAGATACGATAATTAAAAACATTTAGAGTCCGTTTGGTTCGAAAAAATATAGATTATTTTTATTTTTTAAAATAAATAGAAAACATTGAAGAAAATATGTTTGGTGGTAAAATTAGAAAATAATTTCTAGAAAATGAAAATAAAAATAAGTGAAAATATGAAAACATAAAAAAAGATCTTTTCAGTATTTTCATTAAAATCATTTTAGAAATTTAAAAAAAAAAATATGAAATCTAGATTTTTAACTTAATTTACGCATGTTCAAATCCTTCTAACAATAAATTTTTTTCATTTAATGGTATCTAAAACCCTCAAACTTTTGACAAAAATCAATATGGTCCCTAAATTTTTTACACTCAATGTGGAGCTTAAACTATTTTTTTAATAATTTAATTTTTTTTAGCATTTTTATATTTAATGTATTAAATATCTTAATAATTGTTTATATTTTAAATTTAAATAATACCTTAGTTCTTTAAAAATTTAAATAAGTCCTCAAACTTTCTAAAATATTAATTAGGCCCTCAAACTTAGTAAAAAATCAATTAAACACATTTACCACATCATCATTATCAATCGTGCACAACCACAACAACATAATGAACTGTCACACCAACATTGTAGATTATCATGTAAACTTTGTGAAATGTCATGTAATCGTCTTGACGGTTTGAAACAGTTGTTCAAAAAATTAAATAGAGTTTTTGTGTTATGAAATTTCTTATCATTTTTTTTTGCATAACTCACATATTAAATTTATGTAATAAATTTTTTAATAATTATATTTTAATAATTTAATAATTATTTATTTATCTTTATTTTAAAATATTAGATACCAAATATATTTTTACAATTTTTATTTTTGAATTTAAACTTTCATTTATATTAACTAAATATGTTTTCTGATTTTCAAACAATTAAAAATAAGAACTATTTTTTAAAAACAAAAACAGAAAATATTTTTAGAAGTAAACGGAGGCGATTTGGAACTGTAATAATTGTCGACTCTCTCTTGTGAGAGGGAAAAGCCTAATGGCCGAAAGAGGAGCGAAGCACAGGCGGAAAACGCCACGTTTCATTCCAAATGCGTGGCGATGTGCAATAATCCACGTGCTAAGAGACAAATCTGGCTACCTCCTCCCATTGAGGAATGAAGTTTAAAGGAATCAAAGGCCGCGTTTGGATTGGATGATTATAGTCTTAATCCAAGTTGGGATATTAGAACGGAAGGTTATTGAGATTAATTAATGTTTTAAGCACGTAATCGAAATGCAAATTCTGGTGTGGTGAGCCAAAATACAACCAACACAAAGGACACGGTAAGGACTTAGGCCTGAAACGGGTAGCCCCACAGCCACTATTACCAAGTGCTAAATGCCAACGATTAACCTCCACGTCACTATTAATTATGCTCAACTTTCCCCTCGATTTTTTTTTTTAAAATATAGGACCGCCCTCTGTTTCCTGTCACTTTTCTTATGTAATTTCCTATCGTTAATCAGCTCTTTCACGGCTTATATTAATTTAGATTTTTTTAAATTGTAAAACGTCAAAATATGGAATTTGTTTATACTAATCAATTCTTTGAGGCAATGAAAAGATATTTTGTAATGGTCAAATTATGGTATTAGTCCTTTTGTTATATCAATTAAATACTTAAAGTTGACATTACTAAAAATTATGATAAATTATAAGAGACAATAGTTTGATTAAAGATAGACAACATCACTCTCTCAAACAACTTAGGATAAAAAGATTAAAAAGAAAAAAAATAGCTTAAAGGTGCTTTTAAATAATTCACACAACTTTGACAAGAATTGATACCACTTATAACAAGTTTGAGCTAACTAATTGCATAATAAAAGAGAAGGATTGGATTATGTAAACTTAAAGCAGAGGGACTAAAACCCAAGATCAAAATTATAATTCCATCTTTTGTATATGATGTAAACGGAATTGCTGGGAAGAAAACTAATAATGGAGATAGGTATGTACTTCACGCTGACATCAATGTTTTGGAGGCACCTTATTATATATATGTATATATAGTGGCGGATTACTACAATCCATGCCACATGCAATTATTTAACCAGCCTCTCGTTGAATGCTAATTTCTGAGTCAAACAATTCGAACTTGTTCAAGTTTTTACTGTTAATGGCAGGATCTGAGGCCGCCAAGACAACCACTGTCATCACCAACACCGACAACACCATGCCTCAACCAACCAAACCAATGGCTCGAAGGTTTGTTGGTGTCAGGCAAAGACCGTCGGGACGATGGGTGGCTGAGATCAAGGATTCGTCACAGCGTGTGAGACTCTGGCTAGGCACTTACGATACTCCTGAAGAAGCTGCCCGTGCTTACGATGAAGCCGCTCGTGCTCTCCGTGGCGAAAATGCCCGAACCAATTTCACATCGGTTAACCACGGTTCGAAACACCCGGTTTCCGGTTCCTCTCCTTGTAATAATGGCCAGCAGCATGGGCTTAGCTTCTCTTCCTTGAAGGCTAAACTGAGCAAAAACGTACAGAGTATCATGGCTATGAACAGTGAGAACAAGTCGGCGAGAAGTAGAGTGAGTGACCACTTCACTTTTGCCAACATATTCCACTTTAGAAACCATCATTACCGGAACACGGATGTTGATATGAAAAATATTCAAAGAGTGGTGCAACCAAGCATCATTGTGCCACACGTGGGCTCCAGCGTTTCGGATTGTAGCAACGAATGGATCGGGTTCCGTCAACATGGATTGGATTCGGACGGGTCGGATATCGGTGAAGTGAGCTTCGGTCGTGATCACCATGGGTTTGCAGATGAAATGATGGGCTGGGTCGATAGCCCCGACAATAATAATATTGGTCCGAGATTGATCGATGAGCATGGTCATGGTTCGAGGAGTAAGAGGTTCAAGGTTTCTTCTTCTGTTGTGGTGCCTCCAACATTTAGTGGGTCGAAGTCAAACCATAATTAAAAGCTTAACTACACGTCGTCGCCGTTGTTTTCAGTGATATAGAACATGTATGTATAGTTGCAAAAAAACGACATGGATCATGCAAAAGAAGCAAATTCATTACACAAGAAGGGGCTGATTAGGGCCTAAGGCCAGCAGAACCCTGTGGTAAAATGGCACTGCACCAGAACAATCATAACATCTCGCCATAAATCCACTTTGCAACGAAAGTTTTTCATCATGTTTTTATGCAGCAAACACTTTTGTTTAATACTATTAACTCTATATAGTTGATTTGTAATTATATTCAAAATTGATAAGATTAACACATGTTGAACATGCGTCTCTTTTTAAAAACAAACAAAAAGTAAATGCTTTGCTGGATATATATTTGAAGTACAAAATGCTTTTGGGATTTTATTCTTTTATGCTCGCGCAATTTTTTTAGTTATTACTGTATTTAATAATTCTATATATTCTTATATTTTATAGATATAACCATACTAGAAATGATTGTAATAAAAAAGATAACATGATTTTATGTGAAAATTCTAAACGAGAAGAATTCATATACAAGAGTCTGTTTGTTTGAGGGAAAATCAATTACGAAATTCGTTTTTCGGAAAATGTTTTTCATTGTATGGTTGGAGGAAAACCGGTTGGTCAACGTAAAACATTTTTCTGGTAATAAAATTTCTTTTGTGTTTTCTGGAAAATGACTTATGGTCTGATTTTCCGTAAGTTATTTTCCGAACATTTCACTTCAAAGAATAAATACTCAAAATAATTTTATTTTATGAATTTAATATTAATAAAATATTTTAATATCATTTTAATCAAAATATTAATTATTAAAATATTTAAAATATATTTATCAATATTTCTAATAATATAATTATATTTTTAATATTATAATAAATAATCATTTATATTATAATAATATATATATTATTTTTATTTTAACAATATTAATAAATATTAAAAATTTGATTAGTTATTATTTTCATAGAAATAGTATTATTAAATTATTAATAATGAATAATATTATTTATATATTAATATTAATAAATAATCTAATATTTTAATAAATATTAAAATATAATAATTAATATTTTTAAAATATAATATAACACTATTACTTTATTAAATAATTAATATAATTTATGATATTTTTATTTCAATAAAATATACCAATATTAATATTTTTATTAATAAAATTATAAAAAATAATATTTAATAACAAATAAATTATTTTAATATTTTAAAAATAATTATATTAAGTTTTATGATAAATAATATTATTTATTGTATTTAATATTTATAATAAATAATTTTTAAAAAAACTCATCAACTAGCGGAAAAAAGTTTAAACATCTTCCAAACATTATAAAGCGTTTTCTAGAAAATGTTATTCATTTTCTAGAATTCAATTTCCAGAAAACCAATTACAACCAAACAAAAAAACCTAATATCAAAATAACAATATAAGAGAATTTGTAGTTTTGTGTGGATTGACCTAAGCTTTAACCCTAATACCCAGTGTTAATTTATAAGTATAGGTGAGCAAAACTCGACTCGGTTCGAAAAATCGATTTTTTCGATTCGACTCAACTCGAAAAGTTAATTTTTCAACTCGACTTGAATTTACTTCAAACAAATGGTTTTAACATTATTGTATGAAACATCAAACAAAATCATTTAATCCCTCAAAGAGAACCAAAAGACACCTATGGAGATTTTAACATTATTTTTGTCAAGGGGGGAAATGAAACAAAGAATGAACATGGAACAAACAACATAAAGGACAAATTAACAGCATGTTGTGTTGTTTATGTCGGGTTTTTTTTTCACAACATATACTGGGGATGGCTTTGTCAATCATAATCACGGTTAATCCCTAGTTAAAACAATGACTTGGTTGCTATCTTAAAAAACATATAAGGTTGTCAATTATTAAGTTTCGTAATTGAACTGAACATCTAATGTTTGTAGTTATCAACTAGATTTTTCACTGCAAGGCATGAAGAGATCCCTCGCCGACTGGGTGCCCCACGCAAGCGTGTCGTTTTTTTTTCACTTTAGACTTTGTTTAAAAATTTAACACATTTTTAATTTTATATTAATTATATAATGCATAGGAGTATAAAGACTATGAATGCATTGAAGAAAGTGGAATAAATTATAAGTTGGTATTTTATATACAATTCACGTAGTCCACAGAACCCTACATCTCCTTTTAATAAAAAGACCGTCTTGGTGGATTTGTGGAGCACATTCATCTTTTGAAATTTCCAACACAATTGAACGTGTTTTACTCAACATCTTTAGTTATTGCCGATGGCATATTGCAAACCGAATATGAAATAAATTTTGAAAATGCATGTCCTTTAGGTGTTCCTTTACTGCTTCATAATATTTGGTCGGTCCATGATATATTTTGTATGCTTTCTTCTCTAACAGATAGAGAAGTCAGAATCTGAAAGACCTACATACCTACAAGTTGTAAAAAGAAAAGGGTTTTCTTTCTTTTAGTAAAAAAAAAAAACAGTGGTATGCTGCTGATTCTAAGATGCATTTTCTGGGAAAGAGAAGTTTGAGGATTAAGCTACTACACTCGATTACTTTATAGAGAAAAAAAGGAAAAATGTTGGAGCATCTGAGTCTTGAAATGTTGGTCTCGATTGCTTTGAATTTTTTCTTAACTATATCTCACTAGTGGGGTTACTCCAAATACACAGCTTAGGATAGGGTCTCTCCCCAAGGCCAATGGCCTGCATTCTGTTCCAAGGGAAGTCTCTTCTATGGCTCACAAGTTGGGGGCTAAAATAGGGAATGCAGCTAAGAATCTAGCTTTTGCTTTCATTGCCATGAAAATCTTGACCTTTGGGTTTAAATTAAGTCAACATATATCAAAGATCTCTACGCAAATCTCATACCATGATTTTTCACTGTTAAAAAAATAAAGTTGGTTTTTTATCCTTTATTTTTTGGCATTTTGCCAGTTACTTTCCAATATACCCCTTGAATTACATCCCTGCATATTGCTATTTCACTTAGTTTGCAAAAAGGTATTGTGGTACATTGCTAAAATATTCATGGACGCTGCTTGATTGAGCTGCAATCTTTTTAGTAGTTTTAAAGTAACTTCTTTCATTTTCATAAACTATGTGTGGATGATTACATTGGTTTCTTAAGATCATTAGTTTTTACATTTTAGTTGGCATTTAAAGATCACTTGATAAAGCAAAGGCCGAAAGAATTCGTGTGAGCAATATTTGTTGGTTGGATTTAATTTTCAGTAAACAAGCTTTGTGTGATAAAAAAATATCACTTGATGCAGCTCTAGTAATATCTAAATTCATATCTGAATCATCGGAGAAGCTACTGGAAGTGGGATTTAAGATGATACTCGATCGGCTGAGGATTTGTTATCCTGCTAAAGAGCTTGTTCCCATGGAACTTGTTCAGGCAAGGGAAGTGAAGGTGTTCCCCGCTAGGTGGAAGATAATAATTTCCAAATTGGAGCAGATCGCATCACTCTTATCGGACTTGTCGAGCCATCCTTTCTTTTCAAAGAATGCTCTTTGTAAGGAGCAATTGCAGGCTGTATCAGAAACATTGAATGGAGCAATTGAGTTGGCAGATTCATGTCTAAAGGAGAAGTTTGAGGGAAAACTTAAGATGCAGAGTGACATCGATGCGTTGTTGGGGAAATTGAATATGAATTTAAGGGATATCAGACTTCTTATCAAGACCAGTGTACTTGACGAAGCTACTTTGCCTTTATCCTCTGTCTGCTCGTCATCAGAGTTTGGGACTGCAGCACATAGCCATATAAAGGAAGTGCTTGCATGGCTTCAGATTGAGCACTTGGAATCAAAGCACAAAGCTGTTGACATCCTTATTCAGGTCGTGAAGGTGGATGAAAAGAGTGTATTGTCGGTTATGGGACGGAGTAACGTCACTGCTCTTGTTCGATTGTTAGCAGCGACTTCACCTCGTATCCGTGAAAAGGCGAGAACTGTAATATGCTCCCTCGCTGAATCTGGGAATTGCAAGAGCTGGCTTGTTTCAGAAAGTGTTTTACCACCTCTCATTAGGCTCATTGAATCTGACAGCATGTTCGGTAGAGAGAAGGAAACGATTTCACTTCAGAGATTATTGATGACTGAAGAAACAACCAGAGCAATTGTCGAACATGGTGGGATTCTACCGCTATTGGAAATATGCCACATTGGAGACTATGTTTCACATGCTAAAGCTGCTTGTACGTTAAGGAACATACCAACTGTTCCCAAGATTCGACAAATACTTGCCAAGGAAGGAATAATAAAGGGTATGATCAATCTCCTCGGTTACGAAATTTTGTTGGGTTCCAAAGAATAAGCTGCAGAGTTCTTGCAGAATCTAATAGCCAGCATTGTGTCTGAGAAGGTCTGTCATCACGAAGGTGGAATTTGAAGCCTATTGGTATACCTCGATGACCATTTATCCCAAGAATCCCAGTTGCAACCTTGAGGAATTTGGTTGGCTCAGTTCCAACAGAAGTCTTGATATCAATTGATTTCCTCCATCGATTGGTTCACGTGCTTAAATCTGGATCGTTAGGCACGCAATAAGCCGCTGGATCGGCCATCTACCGAGTTTGCAGTTTGAGTGAAATGAAAAACTAGTGGGTGAAGCCAGCTGCATCACTCTTCTTGATACAATGCTGGAGGCCAAATCAAACAGTGCGAGAGAGGTAGCTGCTCAGGCACTATCAAGTTGGTAATCGTCTCTCATAATTGTAGAGAAGTAAAAAAGAATGATAAAAGTACGTCGAATCTATTACAATTGCTTGATCCAAGCCCCCAAAACACTGCAAACAAGTACGCAATTTCATGCCAATTGACACGGGGCTAGACTTTCGGCTAGCTAGTCTGTGCGACCCTTAGATACCTCGCGTTTCTCGGCGTCTAAGTCACCTAAACTCCTCGGTTAATGTTGCTATAGCGATAAGCATGATGAAAAAGCATAAAAACGTAAGTAAGTGTGTAGGGGGAAATTTTTGCATGAATGCCTGAGTTTTAACACAAAACTCTCTATATCCAAAGGAGGTAGGGATACCTCTTTTATAATGGAGTCCCT